GCACTGCATGCATGCGATGCACATACATACAGGCAGACAAACTTATAAAAACTCATAAAATAAGAATGTATTTTCGAAAAGAGAGAAAGAGATACTCAAGCCCCAGCCCTGTTACCGTGAATGGAACTGTATTCGGATATAGGCTCCTTGCATAAAGAGTCATTGTGGATCACTGTGGGATTGGATCCACTGACTAGTGTCTCATAAGAAACATGGGAAATTGACCAGAACACAGGGGGAAGACACAGGAACTTTGCTATGCTGATATCAACCAAGGAACGCTGTAGCTTTCGAGAGAACCAGGAAGCAGAAAGAACAGTGGAGAGATTCTTCCCAGAGCCTCCGGAAAATGTGTAGCCTGGCCAGCATCTGGATTTGGGGCGATTTCTTGACTGATGATCAATGCAGGAGGGCCAAGCTCACTGTGGGCGGTACCACCCTGGGAAGGTGGTCCTGGGTTATTTAAGAAAGCAGGCTGAGTAAACCATGATGAGCTAGCCACTGAGCGGTGTTCCTCTGTGGGCCGTGCTTTGGTTCCTGACTTCAGGTTCCTGTCTGTCAGCGATGAACTGTGACCTGGAAGTTGTATGATAAAGTAAGCACCTCCTTCCCTTGTTGTTTTGGGTCATGGTGTTTAGCCTATCAATAGAAAGCCAACTCAGACACATAGACACTTACACTGATGTACTAGTGTTGATGATGGTCCTACTCCTCTGCTATTCCCACTGCAACCCAGACTGTATTCAGCCCCCTCTGCCTCGTCCCTCCCCCTGGAGCAAGTCAGACGCCAGTTTCTGTGCAGTCTTCCTCGGCTCATCGCTACAACTCTTTCTCACCCCACCCTCCCTTGTGACCCTATCCCCTCCGGTGATCTCAACTTTCTGTTCCTTATAGATAATCCCCAGCTGCTTGTCACGGGCTCGGGGGAGCCAGAGCCCCTCCCACACCTATGCTGTGGTGGCTGTGTGGGACACACCCTGTCCGCGCTGACCTGTCCATTTTCCTGCCCAGCCCGTCCTTTCCTTGTGGTTCCTGCCTCACCTTGTGGCTCTGTGAGCAATCTACCGCTTACCCAGAGGCTGGGGAGTTAGCCTTCCCAGCTGTCCTGCCTAGTGAGGACGGGTCGCCCCCCCTCAACATCCCCACGGTTGCCTTTCTCCACAGCCCTCTCTGGGGCCGTGTGCTCACAGGGCTCCGGCGCCAGCCTCTCACCGGACTTCCGCTTCCACCTCCTCTGCCCTTCACTTACACCTCAGGCTCACTGAGCCTGACTGGAAATTGAAAAGCAAGATTATGCCACCATCTAAGCACCCATTAAAACCACACAGCCTTGGGTCCCAGCACTGAGCCCGGGTTCAGAGCCCTGCCGCCGATGACGCCTGCTTCCAACTCTTCCAGAATGTTCCCTTCAGCTCCTCAAACTCACTCACTTTTTTTCTTCTTATGCCTCCTTCTGCCTGAAGCACTGTTCTCTCCCCCACTGGGATTTCCTCAACTCAATCGCTTACAAAAAAACACCCCCATTTCCCTGGGGTTGCTTTCCTAGCTCCCCATCCCAGAAGTCTCCTGTGGCACCGCCCCATTTCCCTTGGGCTCCTTGGCGTCACACACTACACCTTCACATCTGTGTCCCTTTCTAGACTGCAAAATGATGGAAGGGTGGGTGGGGACCACTGTGTCTCCAGCCCCTAACAGTCCTGCCCCACATAGTAGGTGCCCAATAAATAGTTACTGCATGAATGGCTCGTCAGGGTGCATAGTAAATCCTTGGAAAGAGTTGACTGGGTCAGCGGATGCCCATTTCTGTTAGAGCAGCTGTAAGCCTTTATCAGCACAAAGCAGGATTTTTTACAATGTCACCCTCACTGCATAACACACCCAGATTAACTGTCACAAAGTGTCACATTCATTAGGTAACTCTCAAGAAGAAAATTTATTCACGGCTTCCCCATAAATTCTGAGCAAAATCCCCACCCTCCACAGCTGGGCCAGGGCCTGCAGCACCGCTGGCTTGGATCCATGAATTGTGTCCTGCTGTTCTAAGGTCAGCCTCCAGGGTTTCTGGGGGCTATCGAGGTGTCTGACCAGCACGGTTTTTTGAGAACTGTCCTTACCTCCTGAGCATTTGCAAACGAATGTTTGCTGCCAGTCACAGCCTATGATTAAATGGAGAGTTGCCAGTGTTTGAACATGGTCATTCCTGAAGGTCATCGGTGGGATGTCTCCAGGAAATATGCAGTGCCATGCACAAGGGCGTCCAATGATCCTTAATTACCACCTGTGCTTGGGAGATCAGAAAAGAGATGGTGTCTGCCGTACTACGTCTGGGTGGCTGGGTTAAGACACTTGCAAACTTTAAATGGTTGTATGTCTGATTTTTTGTTTTGTTTTGTTTTCAGATGAGAAAGCCTGCTGTCCTTGGGCTCAGAAATATCTGAGTCTCGCTCTTCTCGACTTCCCAGGTGCTGCCTCGGGAGCCTTTGTGGCTGCAGCTTGTGCAGATGGGCGGTGACACGCCGATGGCTTCTTTTCTGCCTGAGGTGGAATTGTTGGTGCAGGTGTTGACGACAGCCTTGTTTACAGGCAGCTGGCAGTTCCTGGCATTACCCGCCCCCGGGCACTCCCCCCCGCTAGGATGTGCCCAACTGGAAGCAGGTGGGGGAGGTATCCATTCACAGTGAGGCTGAGAACCGTGGCATCTGACACCCCCCCCCGGCTAATAGCCTTTGCCCAGCACCCAGGATATTTCTATCTCTTTCTTTCACCAAGAAGGAAGCCAGGTGACAGCTCGGACTGGACAGTGCTTTTAAAAGGAGACCTTTTGACCCCAGCCGAACCTGGATCTCATAGCAACTCTTCGCCTGCACTCAATGGCTGCTTTGGGCAATTTACTTAGTGTCTCTCGTCTCTACTTCCTCATCAGTCCACTGCAGATGATACTCATTTCTAGAGCTATTTTGGGGGATAAAGTGCAATGATTCGGGCTGGTGTTTGCCTGGGCCATGGAAAAAGCTGTCATTATCATTATCCTTCGGGGAGATAGAGCTGAACTGTAATTGGGTTTTAAGTCTGATTGCTGGTTTGGGGTGGGGAGGGTATCACCATGCCTAGAGCCTGTAGACGTGCCAGGTGTGTTAGTGTCCAGCCAATAGCAAAGACTTGTTCCCAGGGGGATCTAAGGGGGCAGACACCTGTGTTTCACCTGAATGTGAAGCCACCTCACCGTGCCCCATCCTTGGAAGGGTTTCCTGGCTTTTAACTCATCAGAGACTGCTGCCTCTTCCCAAGTCCCTTTCCCTATATACTCAAGTGTGTGAGGTTTAAAATGAGGAATTAATTTCTGAACTATGCCTTTTGCTCTTCCTATGCTGGCTGTCTCTAACCTAAGTACCACCGTGACTACACCAGGGGCCCCACCCTATGCAACACACCCAGAGCCTGTGACCAGGGTTGCCATTATTGCTTGGTTGTGGAGATTGTTGGGAAAGCACCCAGTCCCCACGAACATGTGGGTCTTTGACCCTGAAGGCCTCCTAACAAGGGCAAGAGATGTTGGATGTATTGCATGGATGGCCTAATTGATTCTGTTTTGTGAAGGATTTGTAGGGCTTGTAAAAAGGTTCCCACCCACAGCATCTTAAAGGCCACACCCAACACCTGGCAGGAGATGAGCAACTAGGCTTCCCCTACTCCAAAGCTGGACTAGAGAGAAACCACATTTGGGTGGTGATAGCATCCATGGTTTCTGTGGACCAAGTATGCCCTATGTGCTGGGAACACATCATTCTGGACAATCTCCTCTTAATGTCCACAACAAACCATTTACCCCCTTCTTCAGATAAGGAAGCTGAGGCTACTCTGGATTCGCATGGTCTGAGCCAGACAGACAGTCCTCTTTCTTTGGCATATGCAGATATTCCAAGCTTAGTCACTCCAGGCCTACATGCTGTTTCCCACTGGTAACTGGTGTCCTGAAATGTCACAGAGAGGTAGCATCTTAGAGACTCGTGCCTACAGAGGCTCTGTGCACTCTCCATGTGCAACGAGCTCCATCTACATCTCCACTCCTAGTGACACGGACTCTGGCTGGAGTCATTAATCACCCTGGTCACAGAGTCTGCTCCTCCAGCCGCATCTTTCCCGCTGTCCGCATCCCACGTTTAGACTCCCACATTTGTGCCTTCGCAGCACCAGTCCAGCTGAGGTGTCATTTCTAAGCTGTGCCTCCTTCAGGCCTCCTGGTCTGTTGTAATTGCCCTCTTCTCTCCCTCATCTCCAAGGTCCCAGATAGTGACAATCCCTCATTCTTAGTACAGCAATGGCTGACCCTGAGCCCTGCTCAGAAGATACGCTTCTGTTGTAGGAAGTCTCCTACAGCCAGTTGTCATGGCCCTGGAGAGTGGAGGGCCGCAAGGAACCCAGGTCCATAGGGTTAATCTGTACTTTGATTTTGCTGATTATAAGAGTATGTGGTGTAGTAGGGAAGATGATGGGAGCCACCATGTTTGATAGCAAATAGGAAAAAGGTAAGCATTTCTAGCCAATCAGTTAGCAGTTAGTACAGCTATCAAATATGTAAATTGCAATTCTGAATAATGATCGTACAGTACAAATGACTTACTCTTTACCCATAATATTAGTGCATCTTCCAGCCCTCATCAGGAGAGCTTTTTGGTTGTTGTAGATTATGAGGGTCAACACAGAGTCCCACAACTAGTCAAGGTGCAGAGGACCAGAGACTACGGAGCTCTTAGCCCTCAAACGGGACAACTGTATCCTAACCCCGCCTCCCACGGCTCAGAGATCCTTGTGGAAGAGGAAACACAAAGGGCATATGAGCCAGAGGTGGCGGATGACTACAAGAAGACAGTGTCTTGTTGGGGAAGTCCTGTTATTTGCCTGTTATTTGTCAATAAAGTACTGTTGAGCCAATAGGAATCTAGATGGGAGGGACTAGGAGTCCAGGAGGATTCTGGGAAGGAGAAACACAAGAGAGTCAACATGTAACGCCATGGGGGTAGGAAGCCTGGAACTATTCTCCGGTAAGAAACAGATTAACAATTATGGGGTAATTACTTAAGTCAGAGCTAGCCAGTAAGAAACAAGCAAGGCCAACAGCTTCATAATTAATATAGCCTCCTGTGTGTTTATTTGGGACTGATGCGGATCTGGAACCAGGCGGGCGGGAAGGCTCCTCTCAAGGAAAGCTTCTCTTTAACAGTGCCTTATGAGCCAGAGGTGGCGGATGACTACAAGGAGGCAGTGTCTTCTGGACATACACAGAGGAGGGCAGCATTCACAAGGCCTGTGTGAGCTTAAGCCAGGTGAGTCCCAGCATGGAGAGGGGAGGGAGACATAAGGTGCCCCCAGCTGTGGAGCTTTTATAACTGACAGCTGACAAGGGAAGGAGGTAGTTCTCTTTAAGGGCTTGTTCCTGACAGGTCGATCATGCTCCAGTGAACCACACATCCAAGAACCACACGTACCACAACATAAATTGGACTTGGTAAACTAAAAAAATGAGAACACAAAATTGAGTGGGTATGGGATGGGGTGGTGGATCATGAAGTAGTTTGGGCAGGGGCATGAGTATGCTTAAAATGCAACACACACACACACACACACACACACACACACGATGGTTCAGTGGTTAAGTCCTTCCTTTTCTTTTCTTTTTTTCCAAGACAGGGTCTCTCTGAGTAGCCCTGGCTGTCCTAGAACTCACTGTGCTCAAACTCATAAAGATCTGCTTGCCTCTTCCTCCAGAGTGCTGGGATTAAAGGTGTGCACCACCATAGCTTAGCTGTATTATTCCTGTTACATTACTTGTAATTTTTATTTATTTATAGACTCTACCTTATATAACCTTATGCTTCTTGGACAGATATTTCAACTGTGTTGATTTGGCCACAGTTGAAAAGAAGGACCTGCTGTATAGACCATGCTGCTCTGTACTAGAATAACTATGGTTTGCTGGGAACTTTCCAGAGAGAGTTCATGCCCCTGGCAGTGAGTCAGAGGGACAAGGCTTTCTCCACTGTCTCTTCAACTAAGAAGGAACTTGTGGAATGAAAAAATGAGGTATCAAGGCCAGGTTTGCCAGGCAAATATTCAGGGGACATATTGATTTTCTGGGTGACTCTGGTCCATGTTTCTTCTGTTGTAAATGGCTCCTTTTTAGTCTACAATGTGACTGATGTTGGGTAGACAGGTATCAACGTCTTCATGTCGCTTGCTAGTACTGATCTTCTTTTCTTATATTTTTGGTTGTGAGCCTAGTCTTTAACAACTGAGCCATCTCTCCAACCCTTGATCTTCTTTTCTTTTCTTTTTTTTTTCTGGTTTTTCGAGACAGGGTTTCTCTGTATTGTTTTGGAGGCTGTCGGTCCAGCCCGGCCTCGAACTCATAGAGATCCACCTGCCTCTGCCTCCCGAGTGCTGGAATTAAAGGCGTGCACCACCACTGCCCGGCCGATCTTCTTTTCTTAAGAAACAATGGAAAGGCCTGCAAAGATGGTTCAGCGGGTAAGATCACCATCTGCTCTTGCAGAGGGACCAGGATTGAATTCCCAGCACCCAGATGGCAACTCACAACCATTTGTAAACTCTAGTTCCAGAAGATTTGATGCCATCTTCTGGACTCATTGGGTACTGCACACATGTGGTACACATACATACACACAGGCAAAAACACTCATAAACATCAAATGAAGATAGGTGAGTCTAGAAACAATAATAGAAAGAAGCAATGGAAACACATTGCTCCGGGACAAAGAACAAGCTTGTGGAGATGACTCCTGTTTGGCACACCTGGAACCTTCCTAGTCATCATCATTCTAAGACACATCTACAACTGATGAGAGGCTGTTGATGCAGTGAGCCCCAGAGGGAAACAGGAGCATGAAATTTCCAGGGGCAACATGCACCCTGCAGAGGGAGGAGGAGAGAATCACAATCTAGTGGCAGAGCCCCAAGGAACCACGGTGATTGGCTACCTCTTTAGGGACTGGCTGGGCTCTGCCATGCCATGTGCAGGACTTGCATGTGATATGCAGGACTGTGGCGATTTCTTGCTTGTACAAACAAAGCATGTCTGAATATTAGAGGGTGGAGCTAGCCACTCACTAACCATAGAGGTCTGGAGGCTGTATAGATAGACAGGAAGTGAGATGGCTGGGCAGAGAGAGGATATAAAAGGGAAGAAACAGGAACTCACTCTCTTTTCCACTGGGAAGCTAAGGAGGTAAAGGTGGCTTTGGCTTCCTCCTTCTTCTCTCTGATCTCTCAGCATTTTCCTCTATCTCTGACTCTGAGTTTTTATTATTTGATCAATTAGAGCTCCATTTACATAAGATTAGCATATGATGTACAGGACTGGAACACATGTCTTCCTCCCCACCATGGTAGGTGTCTCAGTTGGGGTTTCTATTGCTGTGAAGAGACACCATGACCACTGCAACTCTTATAAAGGAAAACTTTTAATTGAGGTGGTGGCTTACAGTTTCAGAGGTTCAGTCATCATGGCGGGGAGCATGGCAGCATGCAGGCAGACAGGGTGCTGGCTACATCTTGATATGCAGGCAACAGGAAGTGGACTGTTTCACTGAGTGTGGCTTGAACATACATGAGACCTCAAAACCCACCTCCACAGTGACACACTTCCTTCGACAAGACCACACCAACTCCAACAAGGCCATACAGCCTAACAGTGTCACTCTCTGTGACATGTGGGCATGCCTAATCAGTAACAGGCTGACCTTTCATCTTCCTTATCCTAGGAGAGGTCCTTTGACAGAATAAGGGATTAAAATTTCAGCAATTTCCAGTGCTTTCCCAGATCTGGTCAAATTTCTAAAATAGAGAGAAGGTAGAGGTAGGGTTTTTTGTTTTGTTTTGGTCTTTTGTAGCACTGGGGATAGAACCTGGGACCTTATGCATGCCAGGCGAACAGTCTATTCTCAGTTGTATCCTCAACCCTAAAAGAAGACGTCTTTCCTATAAGCCTATGATGTCAGAGCAAAACAGAGAAGGGGCAGAGAAAGAAAGAATGCAAGAGTGAAGGACTTATCCCGATGTCACCTTTAGCCCTTCTGCTGTCTGGTATTTGTGAAGCAAAATTACTGGGTCCACACGATACAAACCTGGTTCATGAGCTAGCTTGTTGGAGCCCGTTCCCTATGGTGGGATGCCATGCTCAGCCTTAATGCATGGGAGAGGGGCCTGGCCCTGCCCCAGTCTACTGTGCCAGACTAAGTTGACTCCTCATGGGAGCCCTTACCTGTGAGGAGGAGTGGACTGGGGTGGGCTGGGGGGAACTAAGGGAGGAATGGAAGGAGGCAGGGGGTGGGAGGAGGTGTGAGAAGGAGAACTGTGGTTGGAATGTAAAATGAAATTAAAAAAATTAAAAATGGTAAAAAAAAGATGGAGTCCAGCCTACTCACAAAAGGAGAAATTTTTCAAAGGCTATGAATGCCAGGGGGATATTATTACAATTGGGGCCATTACAAGTGCCACTGGAAGACATATCCACTAGGCACTGATGATTATTTCCCATAGTACAGTGGTCCTCAACCTGTGGGCCACAACCCCTTTGGGGAGTTGCATATTGGATATTTTGCCTGTCAGATATGTATGTATGTATGTATGTATGCATATATGTAATGATTCATAACAGTAGCAAAATTACAGTTATGACGTAGCAGTGGAGTAATTTTATGTTTGGGGGTCACCACACATAAGGAACTGTATTAAGGGGGCCACAGCGCTAGGAAGGTGGAGAACCACTGCCATAGTTGGTACTATAGCAGAATCCTTGAGACTGTATGCTGTGCATGCAAAGTATTGACAAATGCAAAATAAAATCAACAGCAAACGATTTAAAATACTTGGGTGAACATGCAGGTGAGATACATGGTCACATTTTCTATTTACAGTGAAAACAAAGTGGCTTCCTGGAATGGATTGTTTCTCCCTGAGCAAAGGCTGTTGGACCCAGATGAGTGGGCAAAGGGTGGAGCAGCTGCGTCCTTCAGTGTCACTTGGCACACTTTTCAGAACCGAACGATCACTTCTGACGTCCTACCAATTGTCTTTGGAGGGTGACTTGGGATTCACTGACACATCGCCTTATTAAAGATGTCATCGTAAGCTCATGGTACATAAGCATACATTTTCCTTTATGGACTGAAGAAAACCCTGCTTTGAGAGATGTATTCTGGGTACTAATAACCTAAGCACTCTTACCCTTCAGGGTATTAGCACAGAGAGGATGTCTTGCAGGGTACATGGTGAGATGAACTCTGGGGAGAGGAAATAAAGATGTGTGTGGCAAACTGTGATTTGAGATAACACGGTGAACCAGAGCATGACATTTCTGTGGATTATCTGCACGCTTCCAGAGAGGATGACAATGCCTGTTTGTCCCCTGTGGCCCCTCCTGTTCATTTGATAGAGATAGACTCCCAAGAGGTGCTTAGTTTCCTGCCCTGAGCAAGCTCTCTGGTGGGCTCTAATTCAAAGCTTCCTGGTGGGGGTCCCAAGAAGCAGGTTAGAGCCTGGGAGGCAGCATCCACCCTATGGGGGGACAGCTTGCTAAATGAGTGCCTGGATTTGCCTCTTCTCTAGTGGGGACAATCACAATGGCCTCTGGTTCAGATTCCCCTGCCGACATGAGCCCCCTTGCCCACTGTGGCTACCAGACCATGGAAGTCTTTTCTGCTTTCCTTATGAATTTCCCAGCTCTAGCCTCCTGGAGTCATGGAGGCTGGGGTCTCTGAGCCTCCATGAAGTGTGGGGACTGTGAGTAGGACTCAGCTGGCACATGGGGACAGCAAGTTGCCTTGTGCCTTCACTCTTGCAATGCACGCAGCAAACATTGCTCAACTGCTGTCCCTGCCTTTGATATAGGAGTCTCCAGATCTAGCAATATGGTTACAAAGGACACCCTGTGACTGGAATAAGTTTGGCTATGGATCGTGGGTTGACAGAGCAGAGTCACTAAATTTCCTGAGGATGACAACTGTATTTAGTTCTAGAAGAGAATGCCCTGCGTGGTTTCCTTTGTGGTGTTTGTTTTGTTCTATGCTGCTGGAGATGGGTGAGTGTCACATGCTTTCATGGCTCTACCACAGAGCCACACCCCAGTCCGGCTTTTTTCTGGCTTGCTTTCAAACCATCCACGTGTATCCAGAGACATCAGTGAGGCGCTAGTAACAAGACAAATGGTGCACATTGGAAACAAGACAAATCTGATGCATGGGATATGAGGGGTTTCAATACAATAATCTTCAAAGTGTTCACTAATTTGGGACTGCAGGTGTGGCTCAATGGTAGAATGTTTGCCTAGAAAGTGCAAGCCCCCGAGTGCAACACCCAGCATGGCAAACAAAGTGGTGGGGGTTCATCATTTAAAGCAAGTCACAAAAGAGAAAAAACGAACAAGTTACAGGTTGCGTGTCCCTCACCTGAAACACTGGGGACCAGAATGTTCCGCATCATTCAGGTCCATTTGTGGGTGCATAATGAGACATCTTAGGGATGGAACCCATGTTTAAACATGTAATTAACTCATAGTTCACCTTGTAGACTATAACAAGCTTGAGCCAGGGCAGTTGTAGGTACCCGTGGTCCCAACCCTTGTGAAGCTGAGGCAGATGGATCGCTTGGAATCATGAGTTTGAGACCAGCCTGGGTGACATAGCAAGACCTAGATATGAAACAAAAGTTTCATCATGTAACTTTCCCACTAATGCCATCATGTTAATGCTCAAAAGCTTCTGTTTTGGAGCATTTCTGACTGGATTTTGAGATCAAGGTGGTCAACCTGTGACTGTGTCGGCAGCCATCCTTATCTTTGGGCACATAGATCCCCGTACGTGACAGTTGTTATGGAAGTGCAGCTGACGTGTCCTGGGACTTTATAAAGCTTTTATGCACAGCTTTTTCTTCACAGATTGTATAAATAAAATTTGTGTCTTGCCAGGCGTTGGTGGCGGATACCTTTAATCCCAGCACTTGGGAGGCAGAGGCAGGCGGATCTCTGTGAGTTCGAGGCCAGCCTGGTCTACAAGAGCTAGTTCCAGGACAGCCTCCAAAGCCACAGAGAAACCCTGTCTCGAAAAACCAAAAAAAAATTTTGTGTCTTTTCTTTTGGACTTTGTTGATGGGTGGTGTTGCTGGCACTTAAACCAAGTCCTAACGGGGAAGTAAACTGTAAACTGCATAGTTTTTAGGGGGTGTGGAGTAGGGAAAATACCTTAGGCAGAATAACAAATTAGACTTCTGTGGTAGGAAATATTCTAGAATGTTCTAGGGGGATGGAGTTGGCTAGCAGGGGATGGGAAGCAGGGGTTGGGCAGTTGTGAGCACTGCCATAGGATAGAAGACAGAGTTGAGACCCAGCTCTCCTCCCCCAGTGGTGGGAAGAAAACTGCGGGCTTCCATCAGTCAACCCTGGGGGTCTTGTGGAGGAATGGAGTCATCGTCTCTACATCCCCAGCCAATTAAGTAGAGATCTTCTCCCTGCTGAGTGGGCACCTGCTGCTGGAGGTGCCCCATGGGTAACAGGGCATGAACTCAGAACAGGAAAATGGAGGAACTCTATCCTCACTCGATCCAAGTCTTCCTCTGAAAACTGCCAGAGGCACAGATTGTCAAGAGTGAGGACCAGAGCAGCCTTTTGTACCCCATAGCTTTCTTGTAGCATAGGGTGAGGTGTGTGTCCAGAATTTCTGTGTCTGAAGGGAGACAAGATGATCAAGCCCCCCCCCCCACCATGCAATGGCCAAACCAGTCTTCACTTTCCAGTTACAGTGCCCAAGCTATCACCCCACCCTGTTCATCTCCATAGTCCCAGCTAAATTTTCTTCATCTATCTCTGTCTAGTCTGGACCAGGTTTCTCTCTACCCACCAGGTCCCCACAGCCGCTTAATGAAACGACCACTCTGAGACTTAATATCAGCTACAATTGTTTGGCCGATGTCTCAGGCTTCTTACTGTCGAGCTCTCTCTTAATTATGAACCCATCTCTATTAATCTGTGCATCTTCACATGACCTTGGCTTACTGGTAATGCCCAGGCCTCTTGGCTCCCCCGGCTGCTACATGGCGTCTCTCCTTTACAGTACCTACGCCTTCATCCCTCCCTGTTCATCTTCACAATCCCAGGCACTGTCCATTGTAGGGGTGAGGCAGTGAGGGTACAGTGTTGTTCACAGGTACACTCACAGCTCACATAAGCTGCTTGGCAGCCTGATGCCATCATTATTTTTGATGGTCTCCTTTGGTGACCATTTTAGTTTGCTCTAGGAATGGACTCCAAAAGCTCGATTGTTAAGGCCTTAGTCCCCAGCCTGTTGTTACTGGAGGGTGACAGCAACTAAAAGTTAGGCCCTAGTGTGAGAGCTTTAGGACAACTGGGCCATGTTCTTAGAGGGTACACTGGGTTCCAGCCCTTCCTCTTCCTCATAGATTACCAGCTATGATGCGGATGGCTGTGTTCTAGCACATTCTTCTGCCATGATCTGAACCCTGGGCTCAAAGCAACCTTGAAAATGGAGCCAGAATAAATGCTTTCTCTTCCTATATTGATTATCTCAGATATTGGTTATAATACTGAAAAAAAAACAGTAACATGATGCTATCCTCATTTTGTGGATGAGGAAGCTGGAGCTTGGGGGGGCGGCATTAGACAGGGATTTTAGAAGAATAGTTCAGTGCATTATAAAAGGGGGATTGTCTTACATGGTAGGGGCTGGGTGGTCCAAAAGTGGCCAGCTGAGTGACAAGAGGAAGAAAACCCAGTGACTGTTCAGTCTAGGGAGCTGGGTGCCTTTGACATCCCAACCCATTCCCACGGCCTGGTGTTGAGTCTCAATCCAAAGCCTGAAGCTGGAGTGTGATGTCAGTGGACAGTAGCAGCAGAGCGACACCCTGACTCAGGTTGTAGGAGACTGGCAGAGACAAACACATCCTCTTGCCTGGCTTCTTTTTCATCCATGCAGTCTCCCAGACCCCCATGCCAGTCCTTTCTGGAAATGACCTCCACAGATAGATCAGTGCATTTTGACAACCCTGTGGGTCTCCTAAACTTGCCAAGTTGATGTCCTAGACCAGCACTTCTCAACCTGTGGGTCAAGACCCCTTGAGGTCAAACAACCCTTTCACAAGGGGTCTCCTAAGACCATCAGAAAACACAGATATTTACACTACAATTGGTAACAGTAGTAAAATTACAGTTATGAAATAACAGGGAAAAGATTTTATGGTTGGGGCACCACAGCATGAACTGTATTAAAGGGTGGCAGCATTAGGAAGGTTGGGAACCATTGTCCTAGACAACGGTCATGAGGATAAGTAATGTACTTGTGCATACAGGGCTGTGGTGAGTTTACTAGACGAGACTCAAAGCTCCTGGTACCAGAGCTTCCTGACATTGCTTTGATCTTGACTATCATGGCAGGTTCCAGGTACCTGATGAAGTCAGGATCAGAGCTCTAAGTATGAATGTGCGCCACAAGCATGCCTGGTGCCTGTCAAATTCAAAAGAGGGCAGCGTGTATCCTGGAACTGGGGTTACAGATGTTGTGAGCCACAATGTGGGTGCTGGGAGCTGAACTCAGGTCTTCTGCAAGAACAGCAAGTGCTCTTATCCACTGAGCCATCTCTAGGGCAGACATTTCTTACCCAACTACTTGTTTGGCAGGACTCAGGGAGTCCTGGGGGGGGTGCGGACGGAGCCAAGACTAGGGGTAGAAATGGCTCTCTTGAGCAAACAGGCTTTGCCCACCTTTCTAACTTCTGTATCTGGTGGTCCCTCCCCCTTCCATCATCTGTTCCTCATAGTGAGCCTGGTCATCACTTAACTTGAGGATGTAGAGTCTCCCTCAATGAGTCTTGCCACCACAGTTCAGTCGTTTCAGTGAACTATCTGTCATCTGGCAGCAAGTGCTAAAGAAAAGCCATTTTGTAAGAAACTGGGCTGCATGGCTTGACATGAAAGGGAATGGGAAAGAAGGGAGAGGTGGAGTATCTTCTCGTTGCTTCACAATGCCAGGCTGACTCCTAATAAATACCCGGTAGAAAACCCACAGCTGGCCCTTTCCTTTAATGCTGAAGTATGGGGAAAGTCTTTATTATTATTATTATTATTTTTAACCA